ATAGTCCCATTCCCGTCGATGATTTCTCAACTCGCTCTCTATTTAGGCCTTTTGTAAGTGGATCCGACACATTATCTTTTGACTTCACATAGTCAATTGTGATAATTCCACTAAAGAGTAGTTGTCTCACAGAGTTATGTCTTCGTGTTATGTGACGAGACTTGCCGTTATACATAATGCTTCCAACCCTTCCTATTGCAGCTTGACTATCACAATGTATGCATATAGGGGCCATTGGTTTGGGCCAAAATGGAATATCTTCTATGAAATTCCGGAGCCATTCAGCTTCTTGGCCTGCCTTGTCTAAAGCAATCAATCAGACTCCATTGTAGAGCGAGCTATTCATGTTTGTTTGGATGATTTCCAAGATATTGCTCCTCCACCAATAGTAAAAATGTATCCACTTGTGGATTTTGTTTCAGTTGATCCAGTAATCCAATTTGAATCACTATATCCTTCAAGAACGGCTGGATATCTGTTGTAATGTAAAGCATAGTTTTGAGTGTCATCTAAGTATCCCAAAACTCTCTTCATTGCCTACCAATGATTAGGATTAGGATTACTTGTGTATCGACTCAGTTTACTGATAGCGGAAGCTATGTCTGGTCGTGTACAATTCATGACATACATTAAGCTTCCCAATACGCTAGCATAGTCCAATTGAGACTGACTTTCACCTTTATTCTTTGCAAGATGAAGATTTACATCAATTGGAGTCTTTGCCCTTTTGATCTCAAAAATTTGAATTTTTCAAGTATCTTTTGAATATAATGAGTTTGAGACAATGCTAGACCGTTAGGAGTTTTAAGAATTTTAATTCCTAATATCACATCAGCAACTCCTAAATCTTTCATATCAAACTTACTAGCAAGCATACGCTTTGTAGCTTTTATATTAGCAATGTCTTTGCTCATTATAAGCATATCATCTACATATAGGCATAAAATAACTTCATGATTTGGAGTATCTTTAATGTAAGCACATTTATCACATTCATTGATCTGAAATCCATTTGATAACATGGTTTGATCAAACTTTGCATGCCATTGTTTTGGTGCTTGTTTTAGCCCATAAAGTGACTTAATGAGTTTGCACACTTTCTTTTCTTTACCAGGAACTATAAAACCCTCAGGCTGTTCTATGTAAATTTCCTCTTCAAGCTCTCCATTTAAGAAGGCTGTTTTCACATCCATTTGATGAATTTCATGACCGTATACTGCAGCTAGTGCAATTAACATCTGAATTGATGTAATCCTAGTCACTGGCGATTATGTTTCAAAATAATCAAGACCTTCTTTTTGTCTAAAACCTTTGACAACAAGTCTTGCTTTATATTTTTCAATAGTTCCATCGTCTTTCATCTTCCTTTTAAAAATCCATTTTGAACCCAAGGGTTTGTTCCCTGGAGGAAGATCAACCAACTCCCAAGTATGATTGTATAAGATTGATTCAATTTCACTATTAACAGCCTCCTTCCAGGAGGTTGAGTCGCTAGACAACATTGCTTCCTTGAATGTTTGAGGCTCACTTTCAAGAAGAAATGTTACAAAATCTGATCGAAATGAAGTAGATGTCTTTTGACGTTTACTGGATCTTGGACTTTCTTCATTTTGTTCATTCTCTTTTGGTTCTTCACTGGGGTGTTTAGATCCCCCACTAGATGACTCAAGTATAGTTTTATACGGATAGATATGTTCAAAAAATTCAGCACTATCTGATTCCATTATCGTATTATCATGTATATCCGGATGTTCGGACTTATGAACCAAAAATCGACATGCCTTACTGTTTGTGGCATATCCAATGAATACACAATCCACAGTCTTAGGTCCTATTTTTACCCTCTTAGGTATAGGAACTTGGACTTTTTCTAGACACCCCCACATTTTGAAATATTTCAAATTGGATTTTCTACCTTTCCATTTCTCATATGGAATTACATTGGTTTTTGAGTGAGACACTCTTTTAAGTATCTGATTTTTTTCTATAAGGATAGCTTCCCCCCACAAGTTCTGTGGTAAACCTGAACGTATAAGTAATGCATTCATCATTTCTTTTAAAGTTCGATTTTTTCTTTCTACAATTCCATTAGACTGAGGAGTGTAGGGAGAAGTAGTTTGATGGGTTATTCCATTTTCTAAACATATTTCTGCAAATGGAGATTCATATACTCCACCTCTATCACTTCTGATCATTTTGATCTTTTTATCTAACTGATTTTCAACTTCAGTTTTATATTGCCTAAATGCATCTATTGCTTCATCCTTACTATTTAGCAAATAGACATAACATTATCTAGTGCAATCGTCAATAAAAGTTATGAAATACTTTTTCCCACCACGTGATGGTGTTGACTTCATGTCACAAATGTCAGTGCGAATCAATTCTAAAGGATTTGAATTCCGTTCAACAGATTTATAAGAATGCTTAGCATACTTAGATTGACCACAAATTTGACATTTTGATTTATTGCACTCAAATTTTTGCAAAATATTTAAGTTAATCAGTTTTGGAAAGGTTTTGTTATTAGCGTGTCCCAAACGTTCATGTCATAAACATTTAGACTCAAGCAAGTAAGAAGAAACAAAATCTTTATTTATATAAACTGCAATGACATTGAGTTTGAAAAGGCCATCACTAAGGTAGTCTTTTCCTACATACATATAATTTTTGCTTACTACTACTTTATCATAAATAAATACACATTCAAATCCATTCTTGGTCAGAACTTGAATTGAAACTAAATTCTTTCTCAATTCTGGAACATATGAGACCCTATTCAAAGTAACCACCTTGCCTGATGTCATCTTTAATAGGACTTTGCCAGTTCCTTGCACCTTTGCAACAACGGAGTTTGCCATAAACAATTTCTCATCTGTAAGTGCTGGAGTATATGATGAAAATAATTCTTTGTTGGCACAAACATGGCATGAGGCACCAGAATCTATCCACCATTCTCTTGATTTCCAACCAAGTTACATTCTGAAAGCATTGCACAGAGATCGTCCATTTCTCCTTTGGATTCAGCAAAGTTTGCTTGATCTTTCTTTTTGTTGTCCTTCTTAGGACCCTGGCATTCATTAGCCCTATGACCATGTTTACCGCAATTAAAGCAGTTTCCATTGAATTTCTTCTTAGGAGGATTGCTTTTTGGACCAGATGCTTTCTTTCTTTTCTTTAATTTTGTGGAATCTTCATCAACAAAATTTACTCCAGATATTGGTGAATTACCACGTGACCTCTTTTCTGCAGCCTTATTATCCTCTTTGATTCTCAACCTTACTATGAGATCTTCAACAGTCATCTCCTTGCGTTTGTGTTTCAAGTAGTTTTTAATGTCCTTCCACAATGGAGGTAACTTTTCAATGATTGCAGCCACTTGAAAAGAATCATTCACAATCAATCCTACATTAAAGGTTATGTGAGTATTAAGGGAAAACATAATATTTCTAACATAGGCATTAAATAAATTTATACCTTCAGCAAGGAGATCATGGATTATGACCTGCAATTCTTGAACTTGGGTGACGACAGTCTTATTGTCTATCATCTTATAGTCCAGAAATTTTGCCACAATGAATTTCTTCATTTTGGCATCTTCTGTTTTGTCTTTCTTTTCTAAAGCATCCCAGAGTTCTTTTGAGGTTTTGGCACTGCTGTACACATTGTACAGATCATCTTGCAGACCACTCAAAATATAATTTTTACATAAAAAATCTGAGCGTGTCCATGCTTGTGTTACCAAGAATCGTTCATCAGCCGGAGTTTCATCTGACATAACAAGAACATTCTCATTGATGAACTTCTGCAGACTCAACGTAGTGAGATAGAAGAACATATTTTGCTGCCATCTCTTAAAGTCGACTCCAGAAAACTTTGCAGGTTTCTCAGCCGGTGCTAGGGCAGCATTTGAACGATTATGTGCAACCGTTGTTGTTGCAGCACTTACTGTTTCAGCATTTGTTTGACTTGAATTAGTCATTTTTTTCTGTCACAAATGGCAGATAAATTAAGTATTTAAAATACTAACAGTAAAGAACAAATCTTTACACAAACTATTTCTGATTTAACGATAAAGATTTTATGTTCTTTTAATCGTTAATCGAATGAATTTTAAAAATTCAAGCAAAGTAGAAAACTATAAAGGTTTTAATCTCCATAAACCTCAAATACAGAAACTGTTAAATTTCTTAAGATTGTTATGTCTTACAATAACCTATATTTATAAGGTTAATAAACAGAAACAGAAATAAGATGAAGCAGAAAAAATATAAAATACAAGAATTAATCCGAGTCCACAGAAACTACTGTGTGTCCTTAAGAAATTTAATCCCCTCACTGTACCCAAGGTTATGGATTAATTTCTCCCAAGATAAAACGGATCAAACCTGTTAAAGAAATAGCGGTTCCTCAAACTTTTTTAACTTCAACAAACTTAAGAATAGCAACAAGTCACACAGACTCAGTCGATTGACACTTTGATTTTTATTCGAGAGAAAAATAAATGCAGAGAACGAAAAAAATTTCAGTGTTTAAAAAATCAAAAATTGACTTCCTTTTATAGCCATTTTCAGCAAGGAACATGTCTGTTCAGTGAAATCTATTCAGACTCATTTTATTAACAAAGTTGTGTCTTTTGGAAAAAATAACAACTTTTCAAAAAATTGTGTCTGTTAGGAAAATAACTACTTTTTGGAAAGTAAATGACTTTTCGGAAAAGTAACGACTTTTCGGAATGTTATCGTTACCCGCAAATTTATGAGAGATAATATTAACAGGACTTATTTGATTTAACAAAAATTGATCAAATGAATTTTGTCCAAAAAATTTATCAATCAACCACATCATTTGCCAAATCAAAATCCAAATCCAAAGCCAAAGTAGTTCCCTTACTTTTCATATTCTCTCTTTTCTTTTCCCATTCACACTTGCTAAAACCCAACAAAATCCTCCAAAAAACTGTTAAGAATAATCTGATGACCTTATAATAGATGTATTATCCTCACAGATAAGGATGAAATAACAAGAATATTACCAACTTGCGAGTGCCAAAATCAGCCGATTCATACTTTAAAGGTTTACACCCCCCCAAAAAGATAAAAACATATAGTCGTACTTATATTACAACCCATGGTGACATGACCAAATATGCCCTGAAAATATCATGCATATATACAACACATAGAGCATGTACAAGTCCCAAGGTTTATACAAAATATATATATGCCTATATGCAAGTGTGATCTTCTTTAAGGTTTTCAAAATCTCCATCTTCAATGACCAACTTCAAGAGTCCTCTTGAACATTCCCTACGATAGAAACAACTATTACTAAGCATAAATCTTAGTGGTGTAAAAACTATAGAGTCGGCGCCCTTTGATTCATCAAGTCATCATTCTCGAGTCAAGGACAACATAATTGAAATATAATCAGTAAATCAAGTAAACAATAGAGTATAAAGTTCAATTATTAAAGCTTCAAATGTCAATAGCGTTCATAGCACAATTTTCCAAGTAGTTCAATAACATGACTCGCCCAATATATACATCATGTCGTTTCACCAAGCACAAATAGGTAACAAGAAGGGTCGACTCCCTGTATCAAGAAGGGTCAAAGCTCAATAAAAAAGAGAACCAAGAACCATATTGAAATTGATTTTCTAGTTTGTACTTAAAATGGACAACTCCCATATGTAAGACGAACTAAAAGTCAGTGTCAAGAAGGAAAATGATCCGAATCAAGAGCAATTCCAAGAGTTACAAAGTCACAACCACAAAAAGGACTAAGTCAAAACAGGAATGCGAAGTGATCAAACAATCCGTACAAGTGGGCAAGTTACACAAGAGTATTTAATATATTAAACGACAACAACACAACAGTGCAAAGTAAGAAGAGGTAACCAATGTACCAATATAAAATTTCACATATATAGAAGGTAATAATAGTACAAGTACAATTTTATACACAAACCTTAGTTCTTTAGACACGAAACGGTCCAACACCACTTCAAGAGTTCAAACCATAGACCCACAAACGTCTCAAGGTTTTCAACATATTCACGAGTATATATAATCTTAAAAACACAATTATATAACTTATTTCATTTCTAGTATCTCAATAATGTTAATTTAAATAAGGATAATCATCACAAGTATGCTTAACCTTTACAAATATGACTACGCTGACAGAACAATGATTCAGGACAGCTTAATGTCTCATGTTGCAACTAAGATTTGAAAGTGAAAATGGATAAACTGGACTTTATATCTTTCGTAAAAGATGTAGGTACATCTATTATGATCGCAAATAACCAAGAATCACATCAAAATACATTTTGCACAAAAATATATAATCAAAACCCTAACAATTGAGTAAACAAGATTTCTAATTCGAGTAGCTGGACAAAGCTTGTCCTATGTTGTGTCTCATATTTCAAATCTGTAACCTCAAACTTAGATCTTTCCGTAAACGTAAGAGTTGTAGAACTACAAAATATCATTCCAAATCACATTTACTCACTCAAAACTTAGTTCTATTGAAAGAGATATGCATTAAATACCAAGAACTAAACAGTTCAGAAGAAGATTTTGTCACTTACCAAAAGGAAGTGTGTGTGTGTTAGATTCAAGACAAAAGGATCTACATTTTCTCTTGATTTTGAAGAACAACTCTTTGGATAATGTTACAAGGTTCCTATGCTTCAAGTCATACTAAATTCACAAGAGGATGTTTAAAATATATACCTACACAAATTATCCTCATCATATGGACAAATGTCACCACAAGGTGTTGCCCAAATAATTATGTGTTGCCAAATTGCATACATAGAGGACGTTTAAAATATATACCTACACAAATTATCCTCATCATATGGACAAATGTCACCACAAGGTGTTGCCCCAAATAATTATGTGTTGCCAAATTGCATACATATATATATATATATATATATATATATATATATATATATATATA